AACTCACTAGGAGTAGAAGAGCATTCTCAATTTTATAATTTTCTGATACATGTGCATGTACTAATGTTGTGTAGAAACTTTAAACAGATTCCAATCAAAATGAATTTTTTTGAAGCTGCACAAAAATTGGGTCAAAGAGTGTGTACTCCATGGTTTCTCAAAAATCAGCTCCAAAATCATCCCAAAATTTTATTACATTTTCCAATGCATATTGATGTCCTTATGCTATGTAGAAAGTTTGAGCCAATTCCGACTTTAACTTTTTGAGTTAAGACAATTTTTTTAAACTCTAAATTTCAGAAAAATGCCTTGTATTATCATTTCCTTTATTTGTGTCACTAACTTAACCTTACCTTGCTTTGCTTTTCTTTAACCTACATGTTTTATTTCTATTCTTTATTTATAATAAATTTTTTGAGGGCTTCATTCCCTTTTTAAATGTATTATTATTATTTATTATTATTATTAATAAACTTTACAATACATACTAGTATGCTACAAAATGTGACAAAAAGGAAAGAAACAAAAAAAGTTGTATTGAAGGCTAACGCAGTAGCAAGACTGGCCACCTAAAATTACATAGTAAATAATCCACAGCCTAGGTAGTCTACTAAAATAAAAATGCCTCGAAGTATTATTATAGCCCATGGTTTTTCTGGAAAATTGGTTTTGAAACACCCCAAATTTTTATTACATTTTCTGATGCATATTGATATCCTTATGCTATGTAGAAAATTTGAGCTAATTCCAACTTAATTTTTTTAAGCTAGTACAATTTTTAAAACAGGGTTTTCCAAAATTTCAAAGTTTTTTAGCCACAAATGAAAAGCAAAGTATTTTTTATTTTTAATTTCTTTCTTATGCATATACATGTACATGTACTGATGTTGTTTAGAACTTTAGAACTTTGAACAGATTCTAATCAAAATTAGATTTTTAATGAATTTTTAAAAATTTTAAAAAGCTTTGTAGTGCTTGTCAGCTCCTGCATGAAGCATGCTGTTTAGCTTACTTAGCATGCTTTGTGGGAAACCCTGCTAATGAGTATGGTATAATTTGCATGATTTTTTAATAATGCATGTCATTTATCTAAATGAGAATTTCTAACTGATCTCAATCAAATATTTGCAGTTACCGTAAGTGTAGAAATTTTCGAGGTATATTAATTTTCGCTGTTTACGCGGGTACTAGCTAACCGTGAAAATTAATATTTTAACCCTTTATGAACAGAACACCCACATGTCCAATTATAGTTGTTAATAACAATGGCACTGTACAAGTTCATCAGGTGTGTGGACAAGATAGTGAAGAAGACAAACCTGAGGAGAAGTCATAAAGCAGCTGGTGTTGCTAAAGATCCAGAGAATTAAAGTAGAAAATGAGGAGAGTCCACGTGCAATAATTATTACATCACATGACCTCACTGACCACCCATTCTATGATAATCCACGAAATTTTATCCATGCGAAATTTATAAAATAAAGCAACTAGCACAAAACCGTGAAAATTTATTACCTCAAAAATTTCTACACTTACGGTATAATAATAGGCATCATTTGCATGTGATGTTATTGATTGCTATTTCCTGAAGCATGATCAATTAGTCTATTGTTTCTACCATAATTCTTCTAAATATATGATGCTCTAAATTCGAAAATAAAATTTTCTACCATAATTCATTCTAAAAATTTGTTTAAATATTATTGTTCCACGTGGTTCTAGTTTCATCACTTACCTCTAAGTTCAATATGAGAGAAAGATACTCTGAATAGCCAAGTTAGCATATAGCTGGTTTTGTGTATTGATGAATCCCTCCAAATTTGAAAAAAATTAATTTAAAAGCCTTGTAACTACTCTCCCTCTAAAAATTCGTTTTTAAAAATTACAAATACAAAACTTGATGTGATGAATTTTTAGAGGAATTACGGTATTCTTTCTGTATAGTGCTTGGAATCATCACAAGGAAGCTTTCATACGAATTTCAAGTGCTTCATTCCACTATCACTTCTGCAGCTACTTGCATGAAGCA